GGCCTGAGAACCAAAGGGTTGCTGGTTCAATCCCTGTCATAACACATGCCTGGGATGCAGGCCAGGTCCCTGGTAGGGGGCATGTGAGAGGCAACCACACATTGCTGTTTCTCTCCATTTCTTTCTCCATCCCTCTGCCTCTCTCTAAAAATAAATAAAATCTTTAAAAAAAAAGATATGATATTTTTGTTTTAGATAAGTGACCGTGACTTATAAATAGCATAAAATGGGTTTTTGTTACTGAATAAGATTTTCTGTCATTTATTAGTAGATTTAAGCCTATTCACATTTATTATAATTGTTAATATGCTTGGATTTATTTCTATTATATAATTTTATGTTTGATCTACCATATTTTCTTGCCTTTTCTTCCTGACTTTTGTCAGGCTTATTGTTAAGGACCCCCTCCCCAAATCTGTGCACACTTCAGGCCTCATAAAATTTCCATTCACCCCTGTGGGTCTAGGAAAATGATGCAACTGAAATCCCAGTTATATGACCCACTTACATGAGGAGACAATTAGTGTACGTCGCCAGGATTTTTACAGTTAAGGAAGACTTCACAATACGTTCAAAGAATATACAGGAAATTTATTTTTTTTATTTTTTGCAATTTTAAAATTATATTTTATTGATTATGCTATTGCAATTGTCCCAGTTTTTCCCCCTTTGGCCACCTCCGCAACACCCCCCACTCCCTCAGACAGTCCCCACACCATGGTTCATGTCCATGGATCATGTGTGTAAGTTCTCTGGTGACTCCATGTCCTATACTGTACTTTACATCCCCATGGCTATTCTGTAACTACCTATTTGTACTTCTTAATTCCCTGACTTCTTCACCCAGTCCCCCACACACCCCTGGCATCTGGCAACCATCAAAACCCTCTCTGTATCCATTATACTGTATCTGTCCTTGTTTGTTTAGTTTGTTTTTTAGATTCAGTTGTTGACAGATATGTATTATTATCATTTTATTGTTCATAGTTTTGATCTCTTTTTCTTAAATAAGTCCCTTTAACGTTTCACATAATAATGGTTTAGTGATGATGAACTCCTTTAGTTTTTTTCTCATCTGGGAACCTCTTTATCTGCCCTTTGGATACCTTTTCTGGGTAGAGCAATCTTGGCCGTAGGTCCCTACTTTTCATGATTTTGAATATTTCTTGCCAATCCCTTCTAGCCTGCAAAGTGTTTTTATGAGAAATCAGCCAACAGTTTTATGGGAACTCCCTTGTAGATAACTAACTGCTTTTCTCTTATTGCTTTTAAGATTCTCTCTTTATCTTTAACCTTCTACATTTTAACTATGATGTGTCTTGGTGTGGGCCTCTCGGCATCCATCTCATTTGAGATCGTGCTTCCTGGACCTGCATGTCTATTTCCTTCAAATTAGGGAAGTTTTCTTTCATTATTTTTTCAGAGAGATTTCCCATTTCTTGCTCTTTCTCTTCTTCCTCTGGCATCCCTATGGCGCAAATGTTGAGATGCTTGAGGTTGTCCCATAGGCTATTTACACTATCCTCATTTTTTATTCTTTTTTTTTCTCGTTGTTCTGATTGCTTGGTTTTTTGCTTCCTTGTGCTCCAAATGATTGGTTTGATTCTCAGCTTCACCCACTCTACTGTTGTTTCCCTGTAAATTGTTATTCACTTCAAGCAGTGAATCCTTCATTTCTGACGGGATCTTTTTCATGCTATTGAAGTCCTAACTAAGTTCCTTGAGCATCCTTGTAAACAGTGTTTTGAACCCTGCTTCTAATAGATTGCTTATCTCCCTTTTGTTTTTTTCTTTCTCAAGAGTTTTGATCTGTTCTTTCATTTGTGCCATGTTTGTCTCCTCACTTTGGAAGCCTCCCTGCGTTTCCTTCTATGTACTAGGCAGAGCTGCTATGACTCCCTGTCTTGGTAGCGTGGCCTAATGTGGTAGGCACATAGCCTCCCTTAACACCCAAACTGGGTACTCAAGGTGATCCCTTTGTGTGATTTGAGTACACCCTCCTCTTGTAGTTGAGCCTTGACTGCTGTTGGCAGGTCAATGGGAGGGATTGACCCAGGCCAGTCAGTTGCAAGGACTGGCTGTGATCACTTGCCACCAACCTCCACCCTCCGTGGAGGATCAGCCATGCAGGGGCAGGGCGGTGGGGTTCCAATGTGGTCTGTAGCTGCCCACTGGGTGTACAGGTTCTGGGGTTCCTGAGATGGTGCAGGCCGTGGTCAGCCCCAACCTGTGTTCTGCTCAGGGCCACCCTGCCTGAGCTATAAAACAATCTGAGAAGGTTGCTACTTGTGCTGGGCTTGTAGATTCCCATATGAAGCCCAGCTGTAAGCCTAGGCTGCTGCTGCTAGTTTTGGGCCTGGGGCCACTTAGCAAGAGGTATGGGGGCTGGGTGCTCACTGAGGCCAGCTCTTGCTTATTTGAGAGTATTTAGGAAGTTGTGAAGCATGAGTCAAACCAGCCATTCATATGGAAAAGTCTCTGTTAACAGCTTGTGTGGGCCCAAAAGTTGAGAGGGATGGGGTCTCAGGGGGTCTCCAGGGTGGGGCTAACAGTATTAGACAAGTTGATGGAGTCTCAGATATGGCACCCACCTGCTGGCTCTGTCTCTTTGGGATGAGACTTCAGAAGAAGGACAATGGTTCTGTCCACCTCTCTGCCTGGGAGAAAGCTGTTCCCTGATCCTCATCCTGATGCCAGACACTTCCGTTTCTCCCAGCATGCCACTGGTCCTTTCACGGCTGCCCTGGAGCTGGAGCTCACAGGGAGTGAGTCGGGTAGGTGAGTCCATGTGTGAATTCTTTAAGGGGAACTGCTTGGGACTGCAGAAGTTTCTTCCACTGAGTCAGTCCCCGCTGGTTTTTGCAGCCAGAATTTATGATGAGGGATCTCCCAGCACTGGAACCCTGGATTCAGGGTCCTGGCATGGGGCGAGGACTCCTCGTTCCCAAGATATCCTTCCAAAATTTTTATCCACCACACGTGGATGTGGGACCAGACTGTTCTGTGTCTTCACCCCTCCTACCAGTCTGGATAGATGTGGTTTCTTTAATTCCGTAATTGTAAGACTTCCATTCAACTTGATTTCTGATGATTCTGAGTGATGGTTGTTCTATAATTTAGTTGTGACGTTGATGTGGTTGTGTGAGGAGGCGATCTGTGGTGTTTACCTATGCCGCCATCTTGACCAGAAACCAGAGTATGTAGTAAATTTTTAAATGAAATAATTATGAGCTTCAGAAGAAATAAAAGTTGGGCAAGAAAGGAAATGTAATCAATTATACTTAGTGCAGCAGTTAACAATACTGACGCAACCCTAACTGATACACATCCTGAGAGATGATTTAAATAGAAACTGTTGTAGGCTCAATTGGAAAATTGTACCTCATCCTCATGATAGTGACTAAATAATGTCTGTCAATAATTGGTAAATAAAGACATCTGTTTATGTGCATTATTCAGAAATTTAGATGTCAATACAGGAAGAAACAGCTAAAACCCGAGACCAGTTTCTCTGGACAACAGGAATGGCTTTCTCTAGTCCCACAAGACGTTACATGCATGTATTATCACTTTCATAATATTTTTTACTTCATACCAATCACATGCATTTGGAAGGAGAAGTCCTAGAAAATTTTCAACTGAAAATTAGGAAGCCTTTACCTGACACAAGGTCAGAAGCAAAAATTACTTGAAATATTATATGTGAAAATGTACAAAAATTGACTTCTAACTTCTACTGACCATGGGGAATGATGAAATAACATATGGCACATCCATAGTTTGGAATTCTCCACCCAGCTAAGTTCCACGAGGTAAAGCTTCTCAGGAAATAGCATAGCTTGGATCAATGTCCACAAGACACTGGAAAGTGAAAAAAGCAAACTACAAGAGAAACTCAGCCTTTGTTCATGGGCGCGTACGCAGGGAACATCCTGACAGGAAACCTCTCATACTTAATTTTATGTGTCAGTAGGACTGGGCCACAGGGTGCCTAGAAATGTGGTAACGCATTACTCTGTGTGTGTCTGTGAGGGTGTTTTTAGATAAGAGTGACATTTGAATCGGTGGACCCCATAAAGCAGATTGCTCTCCCCAATGTGGGTAGGCCTCATCCAACCAGCTGAAGCCCTGACTAGAACAAGGAGGCTGACCCTACATGAGAGCAAGACAGGTCTCCCTCAGACTGGGACATTGGTATTTTCCTGCCTTTGGACTCAGAGGGAAACATCGTCTCTCCCTGAGTCTTCAGTCTGCTGCCTTTGTATGGAACTACATCACTGGCTCTCCTGGGCCTCCAGCTTGCCTGCTCACCTGCAGAACTTGGGTCTCCCAAGCCTCTGTAATCACATGAGCCAATTCCCTATAAAAAATTCCTCCGTGTGTGTGTGTGTGTGTGTGTGTGTCTTTAAAACATGTTTCACTAAGAGTAAATATTACTTTTGTGATACAAATAAAACAAAAACTCTATTTGCTTAAAGACCTTTCTAAGATTGGTTTTAGAGTGATCTGGGAAGATGACGTTTACCCACTGTGGAAACGTTGGTGCCATCCTGTGCTGGACACATGTCTAGATTTGTCTGGGGTCAAAAAGAGGCAGCCATGCTGAAAACAGTGGAAAAGTCTGTTACCAATCCTTCTCTTAACAAACATTTTTCACCGGCCTCGCCAGCCCACTCCACAGTTCCCAGGCTGAGGAAAGTGGGGTGCTCCCTGAAACCTCTCCTGGAGGTGATCTCAACTGCTTTCCTCCAGGGACCCCTCAGGGTGTGGGCAGACCCTCCAGCCGGGGCCCGCCAGCTCCTTCTCCCACCCCCAAACGCCAGTGCCCCCAGCTGAATGCTTCTGCTGCAAGCCTCTCCCCACCTCCACCCCCCCGTGCCATGTCCCTCAGGATCGCGTACCTCGAAGAAGCTGCCTGGGACTTAAACTTTCTTCCAGATCCTCTCCACTCCCTGTTTTTTGACCCTACATCTCCCAGTTCCAAATAACCAGTCCACACAGAGTTTCAAGTATTTGTTTCTTCTCCTATTCCATGGAGGAGGCTGAAAATTACAGTAATCACAGTGAGCAGCAGACGGAGGCAGTATCTGCCTCTCTGGGGTCTGGGATTCTTAAATTATTCCCTTCTGTCTTCCCTCTACTCCCCGCCCCCCATGCCTCTGACTATCTTCAAAATCCCCAGCAGAGGCGCTGGGCAGAGCATAGGGGCAGGTGCAGCTAGAGATCAGGGCTCCTAGCTGGTAATGTTGCGTCTCATCTCACACGTCCAGCGTAGCACCTGCTGGCAGAAATTGTCGTTCCAGTGGCCATTCATTTGGATCTCAGCACAGTCTTCGCTTCCACCCTCCTCGTGCCCCTGCCAGTTATCCGGCTGGGTGGCATCCCAGTTCCTAGGAAGGAAGGACAGAGCTCAAGCCCAGACCACCCGCATCCCAGCCATCCTCACCCCACCTCAGGAAAGCACAGCCTCGGGGAGTTCCGGTGGCAGAAGCCGCAGCCATGGGGGTGGGGAGTCTGAGGGGAGGGGGTTGGAGAATTTGGTCCCTAAGGATGGGTGGGAGTATTAGGGGCAAAAGGCCAGGGGGCCATCCCCAGGCCAATCCAGGAAATAGCATAGCGGGGAGGGGGCGCTTACCTGTAGCTATACCTATAGTCCGTGCCATCCACCCATTTCCAGGACCCATCGATTTCAGTCAGACCTATCCAGGTGTGAAAGGGGCGCGTGTGCTCTAAAATGAATTTCTGGAAAACAGGCCGAAGGGAAGTTTCTAGTCCCTTGTGCCTCCATGCAAACACCAGCTGTGGTGCCCTCAGCCTTCCCCAGCCTGATCTGCTGCCAAGCTGAAGCATCATCTCCCCAAAATCAGTTCCTCGCTTTTCCTTTTCTAACCTAAGCAGCTGTTCAGAGCAGCAGTCCCCAACCTTTTGGCACCAGGGCCCGGTTTCATGGAAGACAATTTTTCCACGGGCTGGGAGGCAGCAAGAGGGGATGGTTTCAGGATGACTCAGCCACTACATTTTTTGTCCGCTTTATTTCTATTATTATTACATTATAATATATAATGAAATGACTACACAATTTACCATAATGCAGAATCAGTGGGAGCCCTGAGCTTGTTTTCCTGCAACTAGGCGGTTCCCATCTGGAGGTGATGGGAGACAGCTGCACCACAGATCATCAGGCATTAAATGTTCATGAGGAGCGTGCAACCCAGATTCCTCTTGTGGGCAGTTCACGGCAGGGTTCGTGCTCCTGTGAGAATCTAATGCGTCACTGATCTGACAGGAGGCGGAGCTCAGGAGGTGATGGGAGTGATGGGGAGCGGCTGTAAATGTGTAAATACAGACAACTTCGGCCGCTCACCTCCTGCTGTGCAGCCCGGATCCAAGCAGGCCATGAACTGGTACCGGTCCCTGTCCCAGGGGTTGGGAACCCCTGGTTCAGAGAACATTTACTGCACAAAAGCACATGCTAAATGCTTCACAAGGAATATTTTATTAAATCCTCATAAGCCCTCTAAATTGGTTGCCCGAATTTACTTGTGAGGTTAAGGAACTCACAGTGGTCCGTGGAGCCCAAAAAGCCAATGCGGCGTCCAAGTGTATGACCATTTCCCCAGTCCGGCCTCACACTTCATTCTCAACTCGCGGCCGCTACCACAGCTCCAGTCCTTCCCTTGTCTCCTGCCCACAACCTCAAACTCAGGGTCCCAAATCTGGCCCTTGTCCTTGCGGTCCCCATGGAGCCCTCGGTTTCTCTCGCCTCTCAGGAGCATCTGCCCTGCTCCTGCTTCTATGTGGCGCTGTTATTTCTAGAAGTTCACCAGTCCTGGGGCTTCCAGTCGAACCCACTACCCAGAGCCCGTTATGACTTGGTTACACAGGGTCCAGAAATCTGTACTAAACACAGGAAGCTGCCCTGGGTGTGAGGGGGAGAGTGTGGAGAGCACAGAGGGATGGGCTGACCAACATACACACCGACAGTTAGTTCCTTTTGACAGCATGTGAAGGGACTCCAACTGCAGGTGGGAAAAAAATTCCTAATTCCACTCCCGTGTCCTAGAGACAAACTAAGATTACCACCAGTCACCTCGCCGGAGGCAGATACAGAAGCATCCTTGGGTTCTAGAATCCTGCACATAAGATAATGCCCTGTGCATGCAGGGGCAGCCCTCGGAGGCTGGCGGGCTGTTCCCCACATTCAGAGGAGTCAACAGGGCTGGAGGCGCGACATTCTGTTTGCTGCTGCCTGCTGCCCCAGTCCCTCTCCCCATCACACCAAGAAGCTGAATCACTGGACAGAGAATAGAAATCATCAAAAACACAGGCTTCTGTGTCAGAGACTGACGGGAGAAATCAAATAGTGCCAGGTAAGCAAAGAAAATAATCCAGAAGAATTCATCTCCCCAGTTCATGGGTAAATAACAGGCAAGAAAGAATTGTGCCCATTCATAAAAGTGGCAGAGGGGGGCATTCTCATGGAACTTATGCAAAAATAAAGAGGATGAAGGAGAAGAGGAGGAGGAGTAAGAAAGAACTGTGATATCAAAAAGAGAGGTGAAAAATACACCTTGAATAAGAGGCATGTTTTAGAACAGAAGTGGGTGTTGGAGAAGAACTTTTTTATGGCCTCAAACAAATTAAAGAGGGGATGGCCTAGCCGGGTAGCTCAGCTACTTGGAGCATTGTCCCACGCGCCACAGGTTTTGGGTTCAATTCCAGATCAGGGCACATATCTGGCTTAAGGGTTCAATCTCCGGTGAGGGCACATATGAGAGGCAATCAATCAATGTTTCTCTCTCGCTCTCTCTCCCCCCCCTTTTTCTTCTCCCCCTCCTCTCTCTCCAAGATCAATAAACATATCCTCAGGTGAGTATTAAAAATAATAATAATAAAATAAAATGTTAGAAAACCTAAGTTTACATAATAAAAGGACTCTCTTGGCCTCAGAGAAAAAATACAGAATGAGCAACACCAAGATATACCTGGATGAGATCAATGAAATTAAAAGATAGAAAAGACTCCAACTCCTCAATCAAAAGACTTAAGGACTATAAGAGAGAAAAGAATGAGGCATTATAAACTTCCAAGTTGCTAAGAAACTTAACACATAAAAGAAATGATAATTATGTGACATGAAAAAGGTGATAGTTAATGCTAGTAATCATATTGCAATATATAAATGTGTCAAACCAACACAGACACACCTCAAACTTACAAATTGTTATATGTCTGCTATATCTCAATTTTTAAAAGAATGAGGTGTGTAAAGAAGTGTGATAGTTTCATAATATTTCATATGAAAAGCTATATAAACTTCTTGATTTTTTTTAATCCTCACTCAAGGATACGTTTATCGATTTTAGAAAGAACGGAAGGGAGACAGAAACAACGATCAGTTATGTCCCAAATGTGCCCTTACTGGAGATCAAACCCACAACCTAAGTTTGTGCCCTGACTTGGAATGGAACCTGCAGTCTTTTGGTGTATGGGATGGTGCTCCAACCAACTGGTCCACCAGGCCAGGGCAACTCCTTGATTTTATTCAGCCTATCATTTAAAGTTATAAAAGGAATCACTAGTATAACTAAAAATAGCTCCAAATACTGTAGGGGAAGAAAATAAAAACATATCTTACACAACAAATGTGAGAAAACAGAAGACTATAAATAGGAAAAAGAAGAAGAAGAAGAAGAAGAAGAAGAAGAAGAAGAAGAAGAAGAAGAAGACAGATTAAACAGAGTCCAGCCAAGATGGAGGTGTAGGTAGAAACACTTCACTTCCTCACATGAGCAAAAGAAGGATAACAACCAATTTAAAAACAAAAACAACCAGAACCACCAGAAAATCAAATTGCATGCAAGTCCAACAATCAAGGAATTAAAGTAGAAACATTCGTGCAGGCTGGTATGCCAAGACAAAGAAATATGGCCCAAAAGAAAGAACAGATCAAAACTCTAGAAAAAGAACTAAGCAGCAGGGAGATAGACAACCTATCAGAAGCAGAGTTCAAAACACTGGTAATCAGGATGCTCACAGAAATGGTTGAGTATGGTCGCAAAATATAGGGAAAAGTGAAGGCTATGCAAAGTGAAATAAAGGAAAATATACAGGGAACCACAGTGAAGGGAAGGAACCGGGACTCAAATCAATGATTAGGAGCAGAAGGAAGAGATAAACATTCAACCAGAACAGAATGAAGAAAGAAGAATTCAAAAAAAAAAATAAATAAAGAGAGGCTGAGGAACCCTGGGACAACTTGAAACATTCCTACATGCGAATCACAGGGATGCCAGAAGGAGAAGAGGAAGAGGAAGAGACTGAAAACTTGTTGGAAAAAAATAATGAAGGAGAACTTCTCCAATCTGGCAAAGGACCTAGACATGCAAGTCCAGGACACTCAGAGAGTCCCAAAGAAGCTGGATACAAGAAGAAACACACCAAGACACATCCTAATTAAGTTACCCAAGATTAAAGATGAGGGGAGGATCTTAAAAGCAGCAAGAGAAAAAGAGAGAGTTACAAACAAAGGAGCTCCCATAAGACCATTGGCTAATTTCTCAAAAGAAACCTTACAGGCAATAAGGGGCTGGCAAGAAGTATTCAAAGTTCTGAAAGGCAAGGACCTACATCCAAGATTACTCTACCCAGCAAAGCTATCATTTGAATGGAAGGGCAGATAAAGTACTTCCCAGATAAGATAAAGTTAAAGGAGTTCATCATCACCAAACCCTTATATGAAATGTTAAAGAGATGTATCTAAGGAAAAGGAGATCAAAAACTATGAATAGTAAAATGACAACAAACTCACAACTATCAACAACTGAATCTAAAAAACAAAAACTAAGCAAACAATAAGAACAGGAACAGAATCACAAAAATGGAGTTAACATGGAGAGTTATTGGTGGAGAAAGAGAGGGAGAGAACTGAGGGGGAAAGTACAGAGAATAAGAAGCATAATTGGTAGGCACAAAATAGCCAGGAGGAGGTTAAGAATAGTATAGGAAGTCAAAGAACTTATATGTATGAAACATGGACATGAACTTAAGGTTGGGGGGGACGGGAGTGATGCTGATGGAAAGGTGGCGCTGGGTGGAGGGGGAGAAAGGGGAGAAAAAAATGGGACAACTCTAATAGCATAATCAATAAAATATACTTTTAAAAGGATTAAATGTACCTACTAAAAATAAATTAGACATAAGTGGGGACCCCCACAAAAAATAAACCAGAGTTTATTTATTAAAAAACTGTGTATTTATTCTTACATGTTTAAACTTCAGTCACCTTCAGAGTCCTCTCCATTTGATGCAATACACCTATTGAGACATTTTTTCCACTGCTCAAAACAGTTTTTGAACTCGTTGATTTTGAGGCCTTTTAGTGCTTCTGCTGTTTTTTGTTTCATCTCTTCCATATCAGCAACACATTTCCTTTTGAGGACATGTTTCATCCAGGGGGAAAAAAAGTCACTTGGGGCGAGATCGGGCAAATAGGGAGGGTGGGGCATGGGGGTCCGGCCATTTTTGGTCAAACTGCTGAACACTCAGTGAGGTGTGGGCAGGAGCATTCGTAAATCACCCATCAAAAATGGGCACACACACTGAAAGACTCTTCAAAAAAATTCACTGAAGCCGACAGGCTCTCACAACAATGCCAGCTCGTGCACTGACACAGAGGGGTTCCTAGAACACTGACCTAGCAGGGGAAGCCTGTGCTACAAGGGGCCCGCCCTCCAGAAGATAATTTTGGGAATTTTTGGGTCCCCCCTCAAACACTTCTATTAAAAGACTCACTCAATTTTTAAAATCAAAAACAAAACTTATGCACAACGTGTAGGAGAAATATCTTGAGTTTAGCTGCACGCACAGCAGCATCAGTCAGGGTAACTTTTAAAAATATTATGCCAAGTGAAATAAGCCAGTCGCTGAAAGACAAATGCCATGTGATATCACTTATGAGAGGAATCTAATGAACAAAATAGCACCAGTGACTGGAAACAGGAAACAGACTGACAGCTGCCAGAGGAAAGGGGATGGGGGTGGTGGAAAGGAAGGGGAGGGAGTAGTGAAGGAACGTGTATGAACGACCCATGGGCATGGGCAACAGGTGGGGTGGGCGGTGGGGGCGGGGCGTGCGGCAGAACCGAGGAGGCCAAGGGGGACAACTGGAATAGAATAAACAAGAATAAAATTTTAAAAATAAAATTAAAATCTCAATGCCATGGATGAATCCAAGGTTAATTAAATCAGAATTTTTCAACTCCCAACTCCTCGAGTTTAAAAGCTTATGTTAACCATATGGAGCCACAGCTGAGAAGCATTAATCCAAAACAGAGACTCAAAAGGCTGGAAATGAAAAGATGGACAGAGCTACATTCAGCAAATGCAGGTGAAAAGAAATCAAGACCCACTCCATCTATGTCACAGAAAGATGAATTCAAGGCAAAAGCATTAAAGCAGACCCTGACATGCACTTCATAATGACAAAAGGACTGTCCGATCCACCATGAAGTCATAGTCCTCAAGAACTTGCAGGCCAGCTCGCAGGGCACCGGACTCATACACTGGCCCATGTGACACTCGTGCTTTTATAGGTCAAAATTGATTGAAATTGGCAATTTCAGCCTGATTGGTAAAGCAAAATGTGTCTGTAATTATTCCACAGTATAAATTGAATATATTTATATTCAAATTCAATAAACAGAGTCTAGCGACATGTAGTAGTTGAAAACACTGGCTAAGGAGGCAGAGTGGCTTTGAATTCTGGCTCTGTCCTGACTTACCACCTACAAGGCACGTCCCTTAGCTTCCCTGTTCCTGAGTTCCCTCACCTCTCGCTCCCTCACAACTGGGGTAAGGAGAGCGCCTGCCGAGTAGGGCTGTGAGAGCTAAAGGAGTGAACACACGTGAGAGTGCCTGTCACACAGCAAGGACTCAGTAAGTGTTACCGTTAATATCCTCCTTTTCAAAAGAGAAATGTCCCACCATTCTAACAGGTTGGCTTTTCCCCCGTGAACTGCAGTGTTTGGGGCTGGGGGCTGGTGGCCGCAGTGCAGAGGTGATACCCGGAGCGCCCAGTAACCCGTGGCAGGCATGTCACCGGGAACCCTGCCCGCTCTGTTCCTTTCACCCAATCGGCCACCGCACTGCAAGGCCAGCACACAACAAGAAGGGACTCTCTGTGCTCCCTGGCCAAGTCTGGGCTTTATTTAGCGCGCCCTGTCCTGCATTCTCTGTCCTGAGCTGTTCCTCATCCCCTGCTCGCTTGGCCCCCGTCCCTCTGCCCAAGCCCCTGGCTGTCATCTCCCACCTCTCAGATCAGTATCTGCTCTGCCAGGAGCCTCCCAGAGTCCTGCCAGACTTCTGCTCCTAGACTCTTCCCTAGGTTAAAAAATAATAATAAAGGAAGCCTGATCCAGCCTCCCAGAGTTCGCGTTCCAGAGGCTGCCTCCCGCCTTTGGGGAGGGCACGGCTTCACCTGCTCCTCTCTGGAGTTGATGACGACCAGGTGCGCGTTCTCCAGCTGGCAGAACTTCTCAGCCTCGGGCCAGGTCAGTCCAGAGCGAGAGAACCAGTAGCAGCTGCCGCCATGCTCCAGCCAGTTAACAGGGCAGCATTCTGTGCCTGCGCGGATGGGAGTGGCCGGCCGGGCAGATGAGACCCAGCTGGCGGGGACAGGCACACCAGGAAGGGGACGGGCCGGGGACTCCCCCTCTCCCTACCGTTGCTTCGCAGGAACGCCACCCGACAAGCCAGGATGCGCAGATCAAAGGGGAAGTGTTTCAGGTGAAAGTGCAAGGTGTCATGGTCTAGGGGGCAGAGTGACAGATAAGGATGTGGGCAGTGCGGGCACCCCATCTACCAGGCCCGGCACAGGGCTCCAGCCCGAGGCTGGGGAAACTCAACACACGCACATCAGCCACACATACCACACAGCGCGCTCACACTCGCATACACACAGCAGACGCATCAGGCACACCACCCACCGCACACTCACACACCACATGCTCAAGGGAGGGTCTCAGACCTGCTTTCAGGTCCTGCCACTGTTTCTCCAGCTTGGCTTCCAGAGATGTCACTGTGTCACCTGTGCTGCTTCCTGAAAAAGAAGAATACTAAACCGATTCCCTCCATCCTGCCTCCTTCACATCCCTCCATCCTCAGCCACTGGAGCAGCAGTCGGAGCCACCTGTCCCTTCACCTGGGCAGTTTTCTGAGGAGCAAACCTGCTCAGGCCACTCCCCTGCGCGAACCCCTTCCACAGGTGCCCATCTTCTCAAAATAGAGCCTCACTTTGTTAGCGCAGACCGCTTCCCCGGCCTGGCCCCTACCCACCACCCTGGCCCACCCCTCGCCACCTGGCTCCTGCCACACTGGAGGTGTTTACCGCCCCAAAAGGTGCGGTGGTTCTTCCTCACCCCCGGGTCCCCGCAGATCCTTTCTCTCTGCCTGGCACTCACCCCCACCCTCTTTACCTGCCTGTTCATCCTTCAGGGTCCTCAGCCTGCGGGCAGCATCCCTGGACCTGTGCCCAGCATCTCAGGCAGGCCACCTGCCCACGGCACGCCAGGCACGCCCCTCTGCAGACCGCACACTGGGCCCCACGTCAAGCCCAGCAAACCTGTGCGGTAAACTGCTGCTGCAGCCCCTGGCCCCTCCCCCCCCGGGAGCCCCCACTCACCGTGGAACCTCAGAGTCTGGAGCTCTGCCAGGGTGCTGGAGGAGAAGTTGCTGAAACCTTCTTTTAGGGTCCAAAACTCCACTTGTATCTGTGTTCCTTGTCAGGAGAGAGAGGGCACAGGACAAAGTGGAGGGGCTGTGGCCCATGTGACAGCCCCCTCACTGCCCCCGCACTGCCCCCTCACTGCCCCCGCACTGCCCCCTTCCTTGCCCCAGCTCTGCCCCTTACTGCCCCCCTCTTCCCCTGTAAGAGCTCTCAAGCACCCCCCACCCCCCATCCCCATTCCCATCATGGCCCCATCCCTGCTGGCCCTTGAAATCCTCACTTTGGGACCCGATCACACAGATGGCCACCAGCAACAGGACGTTGAAGCCCAGGACCAGCAGGTTGAGCCAGAGCCTGGGGTAGAGCCTCTGCAGCAGAACGGGCTGGGGCGGAGGCGTCCCTGCGAGAGAAGGGGGGTCAGGAGCAGGGCCGTGGGGAGCCAGCTAATGGAAGCATCCAGGGGAGCAGAAGTCCAAGGAAGTGCGGCCCCGTGGCTGGGAGGAAAGTACTTGGGGAGTGTTGCTTGGGGGAGTCAATGGGCTTTGACCCCAGCGTTTAAGCATTGAGCGCACACTCATTTGCACACTTGCACACGCCTACACACGGGCATGCAACACACCTGCGCGTGGCACTGATATTCACATCATCTGGGCATAAAGCCTCGCTCTCGGACCTGGGCCCCTCCGACAAGACCGAACCTAGAACCACCAGCACAACCCCCCCCCCCACTTCCACCGGATGTTTAAGCCCAAGGCCATTCCCCCGCAGACCAGCCCCTGAGGGCCGCCCTTCAAGCCCCAGCCCCCTCATCCCCCAGCCCTCAGAGCCTCTCAGCCCCTCCGCCCCAGAGACCCTTGCTCCACTATAAACGCTGGCCCCTTAGCCCTCGGTCACCTCACAGAACCCTCTCCCGCCCCTTGATCAAGCTGCACCCTGAAAACACAGTCCCCCCGACACACACACTTTTCATTCCACTCTCACGCTCATTACCGCGCACACACGCGTCGCCCCCAGCACTGCCCACATCCCCTCCTGTGGTGGCCCCGCCCCCACTGGGTCCTGCGGTCCTCACTGTGGGCCCCAGTCACACGGACGGCCACCAGCAGCAGGGCACTGAGGCCCGGGACCAGCCAGCACTTTCATTAACACACATTCTCACACTCATACACATTAACACACACATTCTCGGGCACACTGTCTCATACTATAACACACACTCACATACCTTCTCACTCACATACACCCACTGACACGTGTGTTCCCACATGCATGCACATGTGCACCCATGTGCTCACGTGCGCAGAACTGGCCTCCCCTCCTGCCGCCTCTCTGGACCCAGAGCCGTGGCCGCCCCCTCAGCCCCGAGCGTCTGCACCCTCCACCGCTAAGGAAATGCTTCCTCCTCTTTGCCTCAGACCCTGATCTCCCCTCTCTTCTCACTCCCATCTCGCCCAGGGAGCCCCACATGCTGGCGAGAGTCAGGGCCCAGAGTCCTCCTCCCCAGTCCATCAACAGCCACCACTGAGTGGTCCCCATGAGTGATCACCCAGAATGTTTGACCCCTCACACCATGGCTGTCACCCTCCTCCACTTCAGCCACACTCAGGACCCCACCTTGGCCCAGAAAGGCCATGTCTCCACCCCCTCCACTGCCTGTTCCCTGCTGTGAACGCTGCCTTCTCTCTGCCTCTCCCCCCACACGCCTTCCCTGACCCCTGGGCTTCTGTCCATCTAGAGAGCTTCCCGAACCACAGTCTTCCCCACCCAGCTGGGACTCCATGGCTGAGCCTCTGACTGCCCTCTCCAATGCCGTCCACTCAGTGGGCCCGGGTCCTGCTTCCCAGCCTGACCTGTGACCCATAAACCCTCCACTCTGGGTCAGCTCAACAATCTGTCTGCGCACCTGTGTCCTGGAACCAGACGCCCATGGCCGAGTCCAGCTCTGCCACCACCTAGCTCTGAGATCGTAGGCAAGTCATTCACCCCGGTGACGCCACAGTTTTCTTGTGTCCACTTACACAATCTGAAGTAGTCAAACTCAGAACCAGAGAGTAGAATGGTGGTCACCAGGGGCTGGGGGTTGGGAAATTGGGAGTTGCTGTCCAATGGGTATAAAGTTACAATTATGCAAGACATATAAACTCTAGAGATCCACTGTACAACATTGTGCCTATGGTTATGGAAGCAGTGTTGTGCACTTTAAAGTCTCTTAAAGGGTAGATCCCATATTATGTGTTCTTACCACAATAGAAAAAGAAAATATGAGTAAGACTAGTAGCTACCTGATTGGGTTGTACAGAGAATGAAACAAGTTAAAACATGTAGAGTACTGATTAGGCAAGTTTGAAAATAAAAGAAGGGTCTGCCCAACATGGAATAATAAGGACTAGATGTGCCCTCCTCCCAGAGACAACCAGAAAAGAAGCAACCATTTCAAAGACACTGGACTTCAGGCAACACAGGGCAATGATCCCCAAGAGACAGGACACAGACAACACCAGCCCCATGATTGTCTCAGCCTTTTGTTCGGAGAAAGTTTTCAGGCCACAGGGCATGGAGGGGCAATCCAAACAGGGCCCAGCCCCTCCCAGCTTGAGGAGGTCATCAGACTTCACAGGACAAAGTACCAGAGGACAGAGCCCAGAGACACCCAGAGATCTGCGGAGGGTTCCCTTCAAGCAAGCAGCTGAGTACTGATCAGTATCAGTGCGTGTATGTAAAGAAAATCACCCAAGACGAGGAAAAAACAATCTGAAAGGATTAGGGAACAGTGCCTGGCACTCCAACAGGACCAGGAATAGTCCCGCCAGCCAGCCTGGAAAACAGCCCACAAGGCCCTGCGTAGAGGACCCAAGAAGCCCTTTCCTTGGCCATCCTCCCGGCCCACCTAACAAGTCAGAAAAGCAACGCCCAGAAGGACCAAGGTGGCTCCAAGTACCTTAACTACACCCAAAATAAAGCGCAGGAATATTTAGAGAAATGCAAATATATCCAGCACACAACAGGGTGAAATTCACAATGTCTGGCGTGCAATCAAAGATTACCAGACAGACAGAGAAGCAGAAAAACATATTTTTTATTCTATTTATTTGTTTGTTTGTTTATAGAGAAGCGGGGAGGGAAGGAGAAAGAGAGGGAGAGAAAATCAATGTGTGGTTGCCTCTCGCACTCCCCCTACTAGGGTTCTGGCCTGCGACCATGCATGTGCCCTGACTGGGAATTGAACCAGCGACCCTTTTGTTCGCAGGCCAGCACTCAATCCACTGAGCCACACCAGCCAGGGCAGAAGAGCATATTTTATAACAAGAAGGTTAATAAAACTATCTAAACAAATCCAGAACTGACACAAATGTTAGAATTAGCAGGCAGGACATCAAAACAGATATTGTAACTGTATTCCATATGTTCAAAAAATTACATAGAATATCAAGGAGGATATTTAAAAGTCCCAAGTTGAACATCTAGACAAGAAAACTACAATGTCTGAAATAAAAAATACACTGTGTGGAATTAATGGAAGATTAGGCATGCGTAAGGAAAGATTCGTAAACTTAAAGACATAGCAATAACTATATAAAAAGAAAACACTGAGAGAAAATAGAACTTTTTAAAAATGGAAATAACATCGGTGAACTGTGGGACCGCTAATAGGTGTGGAGTTGGGTCCTTGAAAGAAAGAGGAGAAGGCTGAGGCGAACAATGGCCAAAGTATTTCCAGATTTGCTAGAAACCGCAGGATATGCCCTCTTGGCGGCAGTGGGCAGGAGGCAGGTGTCAGCTCACGAGAAGGCAGCAGAGGCCGCGGGGGCGGACGCGCCGCCGCCGCCGCTCCGCGCGGCCCTGCAGAGCCGCGCATCAGGCCCCTTGGGGAGCTCCTTCTCCCACGACACCCAGAACCTCTGGCCTCTCTCCAAGCCTCCTGCTGAAACTCCGAGCCTCTCGCCCTCCAACGATTCAATAATACCCCAAATCATTCTTGAGCGTTCCCTACGTACCAGGCATCACGGGGGCACTGAGGATGCCGAGGGGAGGCTGACAGGCGTGGCGTCTGCCCCGTGCAGCCTCCGCGCGCCGGGACAACCCGCGGCCCCCACCCGGGAAGGGAGAAGCCTTCCGTGGGGTCGCCCGTCCCTCCTGCGGCTCCTGCCCTGCCGGCCCCCACCCTCACCTGCGGCAGCACCAGCCTCCGCCGTCTGCCAGTCTCAGAAATGGGCGGTTTCTCCTCCCGGCCCAGGCTAACCAATTCCGCTCCCTGAGCTCCGTGCCCCAGCGCCCCCCCCCACCCTGGCCCCACGGAGCCGCCCACGCCAGCACCCACACACCTGACACGCCCCCCTCCCCGCCCCTGGCCCTGCCCTCCCGCCTAGAATGTCTCAGGCCTCTCTTGTTTTAAAATCTTTTCCCAGACGAGGGGACTTCCATCAAGACCTGCTACGGAAAGATCCAGGGCGGGCCTTGGGAGAGTGGGAATTTTCCGAAGTGTCTCCGTATCTCCGTGGCCATTGCCTCAGCCACCCGCCCCCACACCCTCCCACATACGTGTATACTCTCCCGGCTGGATGTGCTTTCCTTGCACAACGTGCACGTAAAATGCGCACAGACACACACAGCACATGTTGTCAGGAGGAAGGCTGGGAGGAAGAGGGAAGAAAGCCCCCTCCAGCTTCCACTTACTCCCTCACCTGTGTACTTACTCCCTTTCCTGGGGTCCTGAGGGTAGAGTGAGGGCGCAAGCAGAGGCCACGGCACCACACACCTGCACACCTAGAGGGGCCCGGTCCCTGCTCACGGGGCGAATGTGACAGAGGCCTCAGGGAGACAGAGTAATCAGGAGCGAGGCAGAGGCGAGGCACAGCCCCGCAGACCAGATACTTGCTTTTCCAAAATGCACCCTCTCTCCTGGGACTGTGCCTCCGAGCGCCTGACCCTTCACCCGCACGGAGCTGGTGGTCGTTCTCCTCAGAGTCCAGCTGCTGGATGTCCGGAAAGTTCTTCGCCATGCTGGGGCCGGGGCAGGGGCTGGGCCTGGGCTGCCGGCGAGGCCGCGCTCAGGGCTGGGCTGGTGCTCACGCCCAGGTGCTGGTGCAGGTCGGGCTGGGGGGGCCCTGGAGGGAGGGTCAGGGTGGGTGCAGGAGACAGCTTGGGTTGAGTCTGAGGTTGGAGGTGAGTGTGGGGCCGAAACGCAGCTAGGTCCTGTCCTTGTCAAGTGATTCCTTAGGCTGTGACATGGCTGGGGAGGCGCCTTCCCTCCACACTCTCATCCTTCCATCCGGCCCCCACTGTCCCTGAACTACGGCCTCTGTAATCCCAAACATCCCCAGTCCCACTTGCCTCCCCAACCTCGATTACCTGTTAAAGGTGTGGAGGGCCGACGCCCGAGCCCCGCAAACAGCCCAGGAGAAGTGGGGCAGGTGGCGCTAGACAGGAGAGAAGAGGAGGGGCGGGGGCCAGTCCACGCGTGGGCTTTGAGCCCATGTGTCTGAATGTCCAAGAGGTTCTAACCTGGCATCTCCTGACCCCAGGACTTTGGACAGTAAATAGAATGGAAATGGAGTTGGGACTCAGGCAAACCATAGTGGGGGCTGGGACAGGACCATCTCTGTTCTGCCTAGAGAAAGGGTCTCCCGGTCTGTCCCCTTCACCCTCATAAGCCGGTCACTTTGCTCATTGCACAGTTTGGAAGGGGAGCCAGGCCAGGAAGGTAGAGGCACAGTTCAGCGTGTCCCCTCGCTCTGCCCCCCTTCCCCTTCCTGCTTCTGAATTTCCCAGGATTGTTGGTGTCTCTAAATACCTCTGACCAGGATCAGAGGGGCCGCCCACCCTCTGCAGGCTCTTGCCCAATCTGGCACCCTCTGCGCCTTGGCCCAGCTTCCTGCGGGCTCAGCTCCAGGCTCCCCAGCTCGGGTCTGACAGCTTTGCCCTGCTGGGGAGTTAAGGGTGCAGAGAAGCAGAAGTGCAGGGGGCGGTGGGGGGACAGTGGCAGAAGCCGCCCTCCCGGGGCAGGAGGTACTCAAGCTCACTAAGCCCTCGAAAGGCCTCCGCACACAAGCCTTTGTCCTCCCTCCAGGCCACGCTCTCAGGTTCTCCAGCAACTCCCACCACACGGCACCCCCAGGGGGCTGCTCTTGTTGCTCCCAGATTACGGGGGAAGAAACAGAGCCTCAGGGAGACTCGGGGACTTGCCCTGGGTGGCGAGGTCGGAGGGGAGCCAATGGGAAGCAAAACAGGATAAAGAGGGAAAACGTCGTATCAGAGAGAGCCCCTCACAGTCCTATGAGGAAGATGGTTCCAGGAGCTGAGGAACTCACACTAATAGCGGAGGGAGGGGGCAGAGAAAGCCTCGTTTTCATCCCTGATTTTCAGGCCCTCACCACACTGGCTGCTTATAAAGTAGCCCATGTGGCCCCGTGTGCTGAAAAGGAGTTGAAACAGAGGCCTGTGCTTTTCTTCTCTCTCTTTTTTTTTCTTTTGTTTTTAATTTTTAGAGAGAGGGGAGGGGGGGAAGAGAGGGAGAGAAACATCGATGTGCAAGAGATACATCCATCGGTTGCCTCTCACACACCCCCAACTGGGGACCTGGTCCGTAACCCAGGCATGTGCCCTGACTGGGAATCAAACCGGTGACCTTTCTGTTCACAGGCCAGAGCTCAATTCACTGAGCCACACCAGCCAGGGCTTCTGTTTTGTTTGTTTTTATTTTAATGGAGCACAATTGACCTATCACATTATATTAGTTTCAGGTGTACAGTCTGTGCTTTCTTGTGGTAACTTTCTGACATCCATGGGAAGGAGCCACACCATTTGGCATCCTGACCCTCCTGTGAAGCCCCTGAGGCAGTGCTGGCTGCCTTGCTGGTTGGCTGTAACCACAGTAAGAGACACATTCTAAGCATGACTCAGAACATGCCCGCAAGCACCTGCATGCACACACGTTTGTATGTTTTACTTTCTCCTGAATACCCAGTGCCTGGCACATAGTCAGTGTGCAACAGGTATTTGTTGAATGAACAAGCAACTGAATGAATGAATGAATGAATGAATGAATGAATCAGTAGATATACTATTGACATGAAAGTTTCATAAAACAGTGCTTACCTTACTACTTGTATTCTATTTCATGACCAACGAAACTGAACTTCCCGATCCATTAATGGGCCACTAATCAAAGTCTGAAAACACTCTCATGAAGCCCCAGTCTTGGCAGGGATGTGGTTTTAGTTCTGAGATATAGGCAAGAGGTTAGCAAACAGGTTACAGACTGCGCGTCAAAGTTCACCTACCGCCATCCAGGCACAGAGGGAGTCTCACGGGCCGCCCACCCCAACTGAACTGATTCCGAGTTTCGCGGTACAACCCCCCACCCCCAGCACTGGCGAGATGGAACAGACAACAAGAGACGTCCTCTGTGTCTCCTTCTAACTGTTTCAAAGTCAACGTTTTAATTTATCAACATCTGACATACACTTGGACTCGTTCTTAAGTTTCCATAGGATCTCATTATTTTTTTTGTTGGGTTTTTTTTTCTGATTTGGTTATAAAATCTGGCTTTATTTGGTTGATTTTCATTTGGGGAGTTTTCCGTACCTGAGGCACAGAGAGTTATATTAGTTGATTTCTGAGTTCTTCACACCCCATCTTCTGAGGTCTGAGCAAGACTTTTCTCTTGTTTTATTATTCCCGCCCCCCGCCCCCGCACTCCATTCCCCTACACCAGTTCCTCTGCTCTCTGTAGGCAGCCAAAATAGTGCGTTTACTATACATGACGGTCTCCCTCCTCCACCTTTCGCCCTCCACTTCTTTCACTGAATGTGAAAGTCACACCACCCACCCAGAGGTAGGGTCTGTTCCCCACCCCGGAGTCCAGGCGGCCATGTGACCAACAGAAAGTGCTTGAAGTACCACTCTGGCAGTCCTTGGGCCTAGCCTTAGCACACTGGAAGCCTCCGTTCTCACTCTTGGAAGCCAGCCACCGTGCGGTAAGGAGGTCCGCTATCCTGCCAGAGAGAGAGCTCAAGGAGAGGCCTGGTGTGGGTGGTGAAGACACAAGGTGGAGAGGAAGAGGGAGGGAGAGAGACCACACAGAGAAGCACGAGGCCCCTGACATGTGAACAAAGCCTTCTGGGAGCTTCCAGAGCAGCCCAGCCAACAGCTAAATGAATGCACGCATGTAACCTAGCCAATACCACATGGTCCACCTGGCCTAGCCCTGCCCACATTCCTGACCCAGAGAATCTTGAGAAAGAATACATAATCGTTTGTTTTAAGCCACTGAAATTTTGGGTGTTATGTTATGTATTGATAGTTAACTGAAGCAATATATGTTCTTAAATATGTATCCTTATAAAATATGTGGCAGTACAGTTTATGTCCATCTGTTTTTCATGCACTAAATGGAACTTTTATAAATCTCATTTGTGGCTGACCTTTTTTACCCAACAATAAGTAATGTTGAAGATCTGCCGTGTTGCTATTTGTGCATCTGGTCTATTGCTGGGAACCATATTAAATGGTGTGCATCCATCCTGGTGTATTTAACCAGTCTCCTCATAATGAACTATGCCAACACCATGGCTTCATCACGCTCCCCCGTGTGGACCTAGGCAAGTTTTTCCATGTGAAATACATCCGCAAATGAGATTGTCAGGTTGCAAGTATTCTCATGCTGAACTTTACTGAGTGTTGGCCAGACTGTTCGTTCTCCAGAGTGGCTCTGCCACGTGACCTCCACGCCCAGCACAGGAGGGCTCCCTCTTTTCACTCCTCCCTCCCAGTACTTAACGTTATTCAGCTTCCCAGTTGCTGCCAACATGACGCCATCTCATGCTGTTTTATTTTTCATTTTTAGTTAATAGTGGGTTTGAACATTTATTCATCTATTGTATAGTCAGTCATTCAGCTTCCACTTGTATGAAGTGCCTTTTCATAGCCTTTGTCCATTTTTCTATTGGGTTTCCTGAATTTACTTTGTTGATTAGCCAGAATTTCTTGTATATTCTAGATACATTTTCAGAAAACAAAAACGGTCTTTTGAAAATAAAAATATTGTTCTGGCTGGTGTGGCTCAGTGGGTTGAGTGCCAGCTTGCAAACCAAAGGTTGCCGGTTTGATTCCCAGTCAGGGCACATGCCTCTGTTGTGGGCCAGGTCCCCGGTTGGGGGCATGTGAGAAGCAACCACACATGGATGTTTCTCTCCCTCTCTTTCTCCCTCCCTTCCCCTTTCTCTAAAAATAAATAAATAAAATCTTTTTAAAAAGAAAAGAAAAATATTATTGTTAAACAATATTTAACACAGCCGAGGATGTGAAGAGCCAATTGGTAATAGCAGGAAGATGAGTCCATGATTTATGAGACAGAAGTGGTAAATTTAAAGTTTTCCCAAAGGCAAAGATAAAGAAAAGAGATTTGTGTCCTGACCAGTGTGACTCAGTGGGTTGGGCATCATCCCACAGGGCGAAAGTTCACCCGGTTTGATTCCCGCTCAGGGCATGCGCCTGGGTTGTGGGCCAGGTCCCCAGCTGGAGAAGTAAGAAAGGCAACTGATTAGTGTTTCTCTTCCTCTCTTTCTCCCTACCCTCTCCTCTCTCTAAAAATAAATAAGTAAAATAGTTTTTTAACAAGAGACTTGTGCAGCCACGCTCATAGCAACATTATTCACAATAGCGAAAGGGTGGAAGCGATCCCAGTCGCTTCCATTGATGGATGAATGGATAAGCAAAATGTGCTATATATGTAACGGAATCTTATTCAACCGTAAAAAGAAGGACACATGCTAAAATACAGATAAACCTTGAGGACATTATGCTAAGTGAAATAAGCCAGTCACAAAAAGACAAATACTGTATGATCCCACTTGTTGAGGTACCTAGAACGGTCACACTCATAGAGACAAAGCAGGAGTTGCAGGGCGGCGGATACGGGGAGTTACCATTTAATGGGTATAAAGTTTCAGGGAAGCAAGATTGAAAGGTTCTGGAGACAGATGGTGGTGATGATTGCACAATACGTATTTGATGACATCAAACTATAGACTTACAAATAATTAAAATGGTAAACTTAACATTGTGTATATTTTACCGCAACAAAATAAGGGAGGAGGTGGAGAGAAAAATATCTTAGTCGCTTTAGCTCATCAAATATAAGATGCCATCAATTGTTAAGATATGCCATTATTTATGTTCCATGAAGAAAAAACAATGACAAAATTATTTGTCACTTAAAATTGATTGTATACTTACTAAAAGAGCTTTTTTACACTTACTTAGACACTTATTTTATCCAGTATCACTCAAGTATACATAAAAATATAAGTAAAATTAATTGGTTAAAGTTTCCTAAAACTTTTTCATCTGAAGAGTCCCATTCCTCTGGATCACGTTAGACTCAGAATCGTGGCGCCCGCGGTTTCCCACACAGTGCTGTGGATGCCGCAAGCTTAAAAGAACGCTCTGTTGTTGTTTTCAGGATTTTCTTCCAAGCAGCTGACACCCATTCTGCGAGC